ATTGATCATGATAGCCAGGCTTAGCTAAGTGCATCCCCCTTTGGGAGCTGTCTTTTAGCAAAGGAACCCTAAATCAGCCTGCATGGTTTCTCTGTGGCTGCACCACAGAGATGAAGAGAGATATTAGGCCTAATTTGGGAAAGCTCAGAAACACTTAATTCTGCCTTATTAATAAGCCTCACCGCTACACAAGGAACATGTCAAAATGTCAAGAACCACAGCTGAACGAGTTTTGATAATAGAGAAATAATAGAGAGTCCCCATTAACCCCATTTTGATTAAAATCACAAACACGTGTTTAATTTAAATGCCTTTATTGATTCACAATGTGGCAATGCATCATAAATCGTTATCTTTGTCTTCCAAGTCCCTTAATTAACTTTAAGCATAGCTTTCTCACCGTTTAGATTTCTTTTTCATACCATCGTTAAACAAAGCAGGAGTGTACTTTGTCATGGGATCACACATTGAAAGATTAGATTGTAATTGTGTTTATTTTTTTAATACATTTTAGAAGTGTCATCTATACTAACCAGCTGTATTTTTTTAATACCACCTGATAGTTATATTAATAGAGATATGAATTCAAGTTGTATACTGTTTAGACTTTTAATCATTTTAAGCTGTATTACAGCATCTTACACATTAAACATGAAAAACATGTCTTTTCTCACTTGCTGCGATTTGGGGTTTAACAGAGGGTTAAATAGTGAAGGGGGAGGGGTGAAACTGTTAACTGTCATGGATAAAGCGGTTAGAAAATAGATGGATTTACACCTGTGAAAAACACTCCAATTTTAATGTGATACAGAATACATTATTCATAATAAATTATCTTGGAGTTATATATAACTGAAAATATATAGAGGAGACACATTTTGTATCACCTCTTTTTACTCTTGAAAGAACATTCCAATGTTAATGTGACACTGATGATATTATTAATAACCTTTTAAATCTGAATATTTTAACTGTACTTCAGACCACACCTGCTGGTCAAGATTATGGTTCATCATGCGTAAATGAGTCAAATTAAAAATAAAACATGTTTACAAAGAAAGTGGAATACAGTAATACCTCTGAGGACTCAAACCCGGGCCTCTGACATCACTCAATAAAGAACCAGCCAGCTTGGCTAAAGGGAGACCTCTCCTCAGCTGCCAGGCTTCTAGCTATTCACAGGGAAAGGCGGTGACATCACCACGCTGGCTAGCCGGCTCACACAACCTATAATGTCGGCCAAATGCATTACAATATATTTAGATCTTTAAATTAATATTGTTATTAATTTCTTTAGCCTCACAACATTGTCCAATAATACTCTTCTTGTGTCTAATTTTTAGTTAAGCAGGATTTGTGCAGCATACTGTCAAAACATCTTTTTTTCACCTTAGAAATATCGCAAGACTATGCCCTATGCTATCATTAACTGTGGCTGAAAACCTGATCAACACATTTGTATTCTCTCGAATTTACTACTGTAATGCTCTACCCTCTGGGGTATCTACAGATGCAGCCATTCAAAATAGGTGGGGTATTTTGCGGCATACCCCGGTGGGCGTGTCACGGTATCACGCAGTATCACGCGGTTAATCGCGTCATTTGACATCATGCCGGAAAGTATCCGGCATCACCTTGTAAAACCGCCAGGGGGAGCTTAACCTCTCATGTACAGCATTTTAGTTTTTACATTTGAACTGTGTATTACAGCATGTT